TCACACGCGAGACTGGATTTATTTCTGTTAAAAACAGTAGCCTGCAAGAAGCTTGTGATCTAAGTTGTCTGTGTGCTGATTTACAGAGAAACAAGAAAAAAGAAAGAAGAAGAATATGAAGTAGAGAATGGTTGCTTGCAGAATTCATGCTTGTGATGTTCTGTTGCAGGTCTGTGACTCTTCACCCTGAACTTCCCTTTGTCCTGTATCTTGCTCTCTCATTGGGTGCAAGTCATCTCCAATATAATTTCCAGTCATAACACATTTCACACTATATAATTCGCAGACAGGTCCAGATATTTAGCATGCTCGTCATTGATAACACACACTACAAGGACTGATTTGCCTCTGATTTCAGCCATTTGTCAGTGATTTTCACAAAACTGTCGACGAGTGAAAATTGGGGCTAAAAATCGTGTAGTGTGTACCTGGCATAAGCTTCTGTACTTATTTTAATTAAAACTACTAACAATAGTTTTCGGTAATTGAAATAAAGCTGACATAAATATTAGATGAAAAACTTAAAACTGCAGGCTTAGAAAACAAAAAAAAATACTAATTGAAATCAGTAACTAATTGAAATCAATAAGTTTAAAGTCGACGTGAAACGGAAGTTGCTTTTTGAAGAATTTTCTTCCCTATTGTGATGAATATCCAAGTGAAATGGCTTCTTCAATGAGAAAAAAAATCTAGGGTGGGACACGATTTTGTCCATCGGTATTTGATTGATCGTTGGATCATTGTTGTTTGCTATTGGTCGATTTCATGTGAGTGACAGAATGCCCCGCCCTCGCGCCTCTAAACACGTGATCAAAGATTAGAAGAGAAGAGATGTTGTTGCAAGAGGGATGGGAAATTATTTTGATAGATTATGAGGGCACATGAATAAAAAAATAAAATAAACTGATGTGTATATGGATAAATCATTTATAATAAACACTGCAATATTCTTTTTTTTTAAAACAAGAACTGTCAATTTTGAAGTCCTAAAATGACTACAACTAAAACTGAAATAAAAAAAGGAAAGCTAAATAGAAATATTTAAATAATAATAATAATAAAAATGACAAAAGCACATAACAAAATTGCTAAAACAAACTAAAATCATATATATAAATAAAATAAAAATAAAAATAAAAGTTAATTAAAAATATTAATAAATACTATAATAGTACACTATCCGGCCAAAAAAAAAGAAGCTGTTTAGATTTAAATGGACAAATGCTTAAGAGTCTATAATTGGATCATTATTGTAGTGATTATGTATGTATGTAGCGTGTTATATGTTTGGCAACAGTTCTTCTAACCTTAATTGATGGAGCGTGTAGCTTTTCATTTCTTAAACAACCAAGTAGGAAGACACATTATGGCCATATTCCAGGATGACAAAGCAAAGACTCATCAGGCTCAACTTGTGAAAAAATGGTTCGGAGGGAGCATGAAGAATCATTTTCACACATCAATTGGCACCTCTGAGTCCAGAGCCGACCACTCCATCAATTAGGGTTAGAAGAACTTTATCTACAGCAACTTTTTTTTGGCTGGGCAGTGTATATAACTAATACTGATTGATAGCAATTCAACAAAAACAGGTCAGAAATCTCTCTGGCTCACCCTCCTGCGTGTCTTTGGCTCTCTGGATTAGAGAGGCCATCTCCTGGTTAAGAGAAGAGACTTCATTGCGTAAAAGTTGGTTTTCGAGACGAAGGTTGGAGATCACCTGTTCCTGGCCCTGCTGCTGCTGAAGCTCTTGATGGCGGTCCTGATGTGGGATCTCCAGTGTTGGCTGATCCTCTGGGGGAACATCCAGCCCTGGGTTCAAACTCTCTGGAACAACAGTTAGACAGAAGATATGAAATAAGAACTACATGATATCAAAACTTAAAGGCATAGCGGATTTTTTTTTTTTTTTCGGGTGGGTAGCCTATACTATTGGTCCACCTAAGTGTCAATCATTCTGGTGAGATGTTTACGTAAGGCCGTCGTACGTGCTCGTCCCTATGTAGTTTTCGCTTTCTGCGCATGCGCACTTTCAGGTGTATTATATGTGTGATGAGTTACGGTTTCAGCGGTTTCAGCCATTCCTTTGAAAATGGCTGAGGGTTGAAAGAGAAAAAATGTATACGAAGTGTATGATAAGAAGAGAAAGGCCGCAGAATTTAGAAACAAGACCAAAGTGATTTTGGGTGAATATTTCACACGCTGGCGTGCACTAAAAGCACAGGTTGGGCTTCCCACTGATGCCGCAGTCGCGAAGATTCTACTAGACAGGTAAAGTTTGTCATGCTATTTGGAGAAATCCATTTAAAATCACTGCTAGTAAAAGTTAATGTAAGCTATCATGCTCTCTTGTGCACACGTTTAATAGGCGTTCCCTCTCGGGAGCAAATAGAGTGTTGCGCATGTGCATTTTTAAAAAAATTGGAGAGGGCGGGACTTCTCTAAAATTCGGAAAGATCCTCCGCTATACCTTTAAGTAAAGGTGTGTGCCTAAATTCTAAAAATATTTGTTTTTAGTGTTTGATTTAGACAAAATAGATAAAATAATTGTATTTAGACAAAATAATATGTTTAATAATATTTAAGTGCATTGCCATTTCAGCTTCACAGTATATTTCATGGCAAATACAGACTCAATAAATACAAACATTTAATAAAATTCAACAATTTTATATATACAAACTCTATGGAAAATTCTTTAATTCTAATATTATAAATATCAGCCATTTATCAGCTGTCAGGCATGACAAATAAATAGTACAATTAAGTCAAATTAGTCTTTACATTGACTCTGTCCCTGGCCTAAAAAGTAGACTTGGATCTCATTATGGTCTATTTTAGTTGTATCCACAATCTACTATCCTGCTTTTTGGAGCTATATTAATTTACCATATTATATTAATTAATATTCGTATTTTTTATCATTGTTACCATTAATATTATGCATTATTATATAACATTAATATATCAAATATCAAATATTTTTCCACACTGATACAGCATTGTATGGCAGTTCAGTTAAACCCTTATTACATCAAATGAAGGAAGATCTTTGAGTTTCACTAAACTAAGCGACTCATCTCTTCACTGTCATTAACCTATAATGGTCCAAAATTTTAAATAGGCCAAAATTCTTGCCCTCAGACCAATGAAATTAACCAAATGTTAGAACACAATGTACGATGCATATTTTGTACCTTGGCTTTGATCTCGAGTGGAGCCATCCTCTGTTTTAACGCTGTGTGAGCTGTTTGAGAGTGAGCTGAGGCTAGAATTTCTGGACAGGCCCTGTGTGGAGGATGGAGGTGCAGAGACAGAAGGGCCCAACTGGAGATCGCTGGCCACAGAGAGAGGGGACATCTGGGTCGGAGTTGAACCCCCCGTAGGGCCCAAAGCTTTTGATGCCGTTTCTCTCCTGACCTCCTTTCTTTCGCTCTGCGGTGGGTCTGAACTGTTCAAGAAGTCAAAGAGCAAATCGTCGTTCACTTCAGGCTTTTTGGGTCGCACAAAGTTGGATGATACTTTGCTGCTAGAACCCAAAGGCATAGTGCTGGAGACATTAGCTGTACCGGCCAAAACTGTGGCTTTGGGTTTCTTTATGTTCCCAGCAGCTGCAGAGATGAAAGTTGAATTTCCGAGAGATGAGGCAGAGATAGAGTCCCTGTGCTGTTGATCATGGGTGGAGCTGTAAGCTGCAGAGTTGTACTGGATTGAATCTTTGGTGTCAGGGCTGTTGTAGGACAGAGAGGACTGATGAGCGTTATTTGTCAAAGCGGTGGCTGCACCCTGGTCCACTTTATTCAGGAAGTTCTCGGCCTTCCCGGCAAGATCAACAAGCCAAGACATCCTAAGATCCTCTGCAATAGAAAACATGCATGCAGAGATGTTAAAGTATAGCCTGTCATGCTAATTTATGTCACCTCTGTTTCTTGCATTCAACAACTTGCCCATATTTCACTATATATATGTATATATGTTGTTGTTTTTTAAAGAAAATCAGATTCTGAGATGCCATCGTGCATCACATGATCAGCCAGATCTGTAATGTTTGACTTCTTCAATGCAAATGCATACGAATTGAAAACAAAACCCATCCCTTAAAGTATACTCTGGCTTTTAAACTCCTCTCATTATCAATACTGATATTCTCTAACATGAAAAAAATATATTTAAAAGTATGTCGAATGCATAAATGATTTCAGAATTCATCAATGTATTATATTAAGCATATTAAAGGAAAAATATCTATAGCCTAGTTTCCGACATATCTTTCTGAACAATATTTGTTTACATTTGCGTCCAAATCCACTTAACACGGTGTATTTACACAAAACTGTCAGCTGTCACTTTAAAATACAAGTAAATGACATGTGCTCATTTGTAGAGTAAATCCTCTAAACAAAATGAGAGTTATGTTGAGCATCGCATTGTCAGTTTCACGTCTTCTGCCCAACAACTGCATTTAAGGTTATAACGTTATTGTTGTATTACCTGAAGGGACTCCGATCTCTCAGAAAGTAAATCAATCTTGCAGGGTCATTTTTTTAGAGAATATCAGGCGAAATTATGTCTACGGGTGTCTTGATCATCGGTGACTGTTTATTTATCCAGTTTCTCATTCTGATCCAGACCGACGTGGACCAGGAACTACACGAAGGCCCCATAACAGTGCGCCCAGCACACTGCCTGACTGAAAAAACGTTGCATGTTGTTGCTCTGCCTGATTGCAATTGGGTCATTCCAAAGTCCCTTTCTGTAATGTAATGTAAAATAATATATATTGCATATTATATATAATACATAATGCCTCTGTTCCTTCTTACCATGCAGTAAGTTCCTTCTTACAATGCACTATTTTCACCAAATTTTGATATTAAGTGAATATAGAATATATTTACATTTTTACTGCTTTGGTTTGAAATTGCAATTTTCTCTTCAAACTTATATGAAAAACCCCAGTACAAACATGAGCAAGAACAGTAAAAGCACAGACACAGGGATTATGAAACAGTTCCTCCTTTAATCAGCAGCGCTCACTCAAGATCGCTTATTTACAAGGCATGCCACAACTATACGAACTGACTAAAAGACTTCATCAATAATTAATGATCAATAACACTTACATCAGCTCGGGAGACAGAGGGATGTGGAAGAAAAGGAGCAGTAAAAACAAAAAAAGATACATCAATTCTCAATGTTTTCTTGCCCATGGCAGACACGTTTATTTTGATCATTGTCTTACATGAAACAAACGTTTATCTTTAGGGAGTGTGATGATATTGTGTAACTCCCCCTCTGATTGGTCGGCCCCTCGGCCTTTAAACCAGAAAGCGGAGATAAGCAGGGCTGTCCTAACAACCCCATTACACAAGGGTTGGGGTGAAGAAAAGCTTTCGAGTTTTCAAGAGGAACAAGGGAGCGAGGCAGACCCAATCACATTACTGACAAGTAAAAAAAACTTTCAAAAAAACCCAAGATTTGTGTCGTCTTTTTTAATAGTGTCCTTAGAGATAGTCATTCACAAGCTTGGATATAAAAGGGTCGTTTCTGTGAGGGTCTGAGAGGGAGAAAATAAGCTGCATACATTGGTAAGAAAAGGAGAATCAGAGGTAATGCATTTCTGTTCTCACGCCGGCACACGCCGTAAATAATGCAGAGAAATTTTCACCTCTCAAAAAGTGACCCTTTGCAGGAAAAGACCTGAAAGTTTTCATTATTCATGAATATTTCCTCTTACAAACAGGTGAAACATTTACATACACACTCATACGGTCTCTGACACGCTCAGCCTTAAAGGTACACACTTTTTCTTTCTCTTTATCATACACGCGCTCTCTCTCTCTCTCTCTCTCTCTCTCTCTCTCTCTCTCTCTCTCTCTCTCTCTCTCTCACACACACACACACACACACACACATTTTTCCAAACACACTCACACACACAGGGGTGGCCGCAGCTTTAGACCCCCTGGAACAGGTGTCCAATCATGCAGGGGTGGATAAAAACGTAGGTCAGATGAGTCCTCGTCTCTTCTTGTAGTCCTCCAGGTTGAGAGATCGGCGTGGCGCCCCATCTTTAACAGGCAATGCATTCGAACTCACCGACAAAGACTTTGATTCTGTTGATGATTAAAATAAATAATAAATTAATATAATAATAAACAATCAAATTGAAGATATAACATCATAGGATCAGATTCATATACACTACCATTCCAAAGTTTGGGATCGGTAAAATTCTTTAATGCTTTTGAAAGAAGTCTTGCTCTCTAAGGCTGAATTTATTTGATCAAAATACAGTAAAGTACTGATGTTGTGAAATATTACTACAATTTAAAATATCCTTTTTAATACATTTTAAAAATGTCATTTATTCCTGTGATGGAACAGCGTTTATTTAAAATAATAATAATAATCTTTTAACATTATAAAGGTCTTATACACACAGCATTTTTTTCTTCTTTATTAGGTACACCTGTTCAACTGATCGTTAACACAAATATCAGCCAATCACATGGCAGCAACTCAATGCATTTAGGCTATATTCAAGCTGTCAGTCCAAATCCAATTATTTGTGTATCCGATTAGAAAAAATAATCTAAATTATTGACTGTCCACACTGTGTATGGCAACTGTTTGGATCTGATTTGTGTGTCCCGAGGTGCCTTTTCATTTTCCAGAATATTTGCATTGGTTTCTATGGCAATGACGTTGCGTTAAAAGGCATACACCAAAAACAACAGCAGCAAAATTATCTTATTTACAAAATGACAATAGCCGCCGCGCTGGACTATTGCGTCTTCTGGAGGCAGAGGCAGAAACGTGGGAGGCTGGCATGCATGGCTTTATTTTGTGCTGTAGTCTTTACTGGTTTTCTATAACGACGTCTGACATGTTTATGTTTCACGTGGTGAGAGTAAATCACATAAACAAGAAAAGCGTTTTCAAACCACATAAAAACCAAAACGGATGTGTTAAAAAAAATAATCATGTGATTTTTTGCCATTCAACTTGCTAAATATGGTCGGATTCCAATTGGATATGCACAAAATGAAAAATAAAATCACATTTAGGCATCTAGACATGGCCAAGACGACCTGCTGAAGTTCAGACTGAGCATCATAATGGTGAAGAAAGGTGATTTAAGTGACTTTGAATGTGGCATGGTTGTTAGTGCCAGACGGACTGGTCTGAGTATTTCAAAAACTGCTGATCTACTGATTTTCACGCTCAACCATCTCTAGGGTTTACAGAGAATAGTCTGAAAAAGAGAAAATGTCCAGTGATATCCACAGAATACTGGCAGTTCTGTGGGTAAAAATGCCTTGTTGATGCCAGAGGTCAGAGGGGAATGGCCAGACTGGTTTGAAGCTGATAGAAAGGCAACAGTAACTAACCACTTGTTACAACCGAGGTCTTCAGAAGAGCATCTCTGAACTCACAACACGTCAAACCTTGAAGCAAACGGGCTACAGCAGCAGGAGACACACTGGGTGACACTCCTCTCAGCTAAGAACAGGAAACTGAGCCACAATTCACACGGGCTCACCAAAAATTTAACAATAGAAGATTGGAAAAATGTTGCCTGGTCTGATGAGTTTTAACATCTACTGCAACATTCAGATGGTGGGGTCAGAATTTGGCATAAACAACATCCATCCTGCCTTGAATCATCGGTTTAGGCTGCTGGTGGTGTAATGGTGTGAGGGATATTTTCTTGGCACACTTTGGGCCCTTAGTACCAATTGAACCGTTTAAACGCCACAGTCTATCCGAGTATTGTTGCTGACCATTTCCATCCCTTTATGACCACATTGAATCTCGTGATGGCTACTTCCAGCAGGATAACGTCCTGTCACAAAGCTCAAATCATCTCAAACTGGTTTCTTGAACATGACAATGAGTTCAAATACTCAAATGGGCTCCCCAGTCACCAGATCTCAATCCACTACTAGAGCACCTTTGGGATGTGGTGGAATGAGAGATTCGCATCATGGGTGTTCAGCCGACAAATCTGAGGCAACTGCGCGATGCTATCATGTCAATATGGACCAAAATCTCTGAGAAATGTTTCCAGCACTTTGTAGAATCTACTCAATGAAGAATTAAGGCAGTTTTGAAGTCAAAAGTAGCCCAGTACTAGCAAGGAGTACCTAATAAAGTGGCCAGTGAGTGTGTATGTGTTTGTGTGTGTATATATTAGGGGTGTAAGGGTTCTCGGTAAAAAAAATAAAAATAATAATAGAACCATAAGTATATGCACTGCGGTTGATCTCAAATCTGATAACGCATCTATAATATGGTTTGTTTAAATAATCCGTAAAACAGACAGTTCCACTAATGTATGTTTCTGTTGATGGATGCACATGCTGGCGCCCCAACAATACATTACAACACCGATAATCAAAAAAATGTGAACAAAACTGTCCTCGTCTTTGTAAACTTTGTTCAATGCAAGTGCCGTATGCTCGAACATGACCAGTCATTTACGCAGTCATCGTCACCCGAGTGTTGATAGCCCGCGAGCACAGGTGAGACCTGAACAGCACGTTGCTATCTGTGTTTAAACTAAACTCATTTAAGCCTTGCCGAGCGCACGACGTAAAAGAGAACTCCCGCGAGCTGTGAGAAGGTGTGTGTGTGTGTGCACTCATCTGAAGCGCACAGACGTCTTGGGGACATTCTAAAACGCTTAATGTGGAAAAACGCTTAACGTGGTTTAATGTACTAAGACAGTGGCATTAACAGACCAAACTCAGAAAACATCATACTAATAAAACATACTATGTAGAGAAAAGCAGATGAGCCCAGAATATGAGTTAAGAGTTTTCCTCCCATAGAAAACCGTTAAAGAAAACGCTTAACGTAGCTTAATGTAATATGAAAAGATATTATTAATAAACCATACTATGTAGTGAATATAAAATTTGATGAGCCCAAAATATTATTTTCATCATTACACACATATAGAAAACATTTTCCTCCCATATAGAAAGCATTAAGCAACGTTAAGCATTTTCTCTATGGGAGGAAAATGCTTAACGTGTAATTAAACGTGTTGCGTTCCTGAGTTTGGTCTATTATCACCGTCTTAGTAGGGCTGGACCGTTCGGTGGGTTGGTATTCGATTTGAAAATGTGACATTCGAATATTCGGGGGTTTTTTTTCTTTTTTTTTCACACCTGGCATCCCCCTCGAACCGGTTCTCATTCTCGCTTGAATATGTTTTACACTATAAAATCTGGTGAAATATAATACTTAACATATAACTTTGTTATAGCTACTTAATAAATATATTTGCTTCTTCTTGGACTACTAAAAGTGTTCGTGCAACGGGAGTATTCTCTGGCTAGAGCGCAGAACAGCGGAGTGTGTTTGGACAGAAGTGCATGCCTGAGCTTGTGTTTTGGGTTAAGCTGCGTTGCTTTGACATTGTGGAAAATAGAATAATAAAAGCTCTGAGGTGGTGATGGTGATGGCGCAGTGGATAAGACACATGCCTATGGTGTGAGAGACCCGGGTTCGAATCCACTGTGAGACACCAATGTGTCCCTGAGCAAGACACTTAACCCCTAGTTGCTCCAGAGGCGTGCGACCTCTGACATATATAGCAATTGTAAGTCGCTTTGGATAAAAGCGTCAGCTAAATAAATAAATGTAAATGTAAATGTAAAAACAAAATGTATTATCCTTTTTACCCGTTATTATCAATCTAAATTAATCTACTGTGAAATATTAATTTAAATTTGTGATGTTATTGAAATTGTTATTGTTATTGCTACCGTGTTCTTTATTTAGGCTATTACAGTTCGTTAATTTATTTTTCGTTTTTCTTTATTTAAATTTCGTTTTTCTTTATTTAAATTTCGTTTTTATTTATTTAAATCTACCCTACTTTGTCAGTGAGAAAAATATTATAAGACTATACCTTATTATAAATATTGCTTAAGTTAACAGACCTGTGTGTGTTTTATATCACTAGTGCAGTGTCCGTTCTCGGAGCATATAAGCTCTGCTCGCGTGAGGCGCGCGCGCTTCCCGCTCGCGCTGTTCTGTAGTTTATTAAGTGTTTATTAATTCCGAACGTGTCGCGTCTCGCCTGTCTATCTATATTGCACCAAATACGACACTGCACTCCTTGAAGTCGTTTGGATGAACGGTTCTCGAAATAATCAAAATGCAAACGGACAGACAGACATATAGAGATTCCTAAGCTTCGAATATTCAATGTTCATTACTACCGAAGCTTTGAAGCTCAAAAAATTGTATTCGGACCAGCCCTACGTCTTAGTACATTAAGCCAGGTTAAGCGTTTTAGAATGTACCCAAAAAGGGGGTTCTCTTTTAAGTCTTGTGCTTGAATGGACAAGTTCACACAAAATTTGCCAACATGCCCGTCTTTATGAGTATCCTAGCAGACATAGTCTGTTATGCCTTAAGTGAACTTCTACAGTCGAGAAAGACAATGCATATGTAACAGTATCAGTATTTTTGGATCTGTGCATTATGTCCTAAACAGCAGCCTGATATTCCTGCTGTCTGTGTTTTTAATGTTAATCAAACAAAATTCAATGAAATCACTCACTGCTCTTGATTGAATAGCTTTTGTAACTTTAATAAGGATTAATCTTTAATTTATACAGTCAAATATGCAATGTTATTTTACATTTGATTACTTTATTCAGTTTCTGTAACTGAAAACTAATGTTAGACCTACCTGAAAAACAAATAGCACATACTGAACCGTACAGAAATCGTGAACTTAAAACCGTTCACGGTTTTAAGTTCCATTACACCCCTAGTGTCTATATATAAAACCAACACACTTTTGGACGGTCGTGTAAATTGCTTACACTGATCCGACAAAACCCAACAAACGTGTTTGTTGGCATTTGTCTGTGCGGTGTGAATGACTAAAATAGTTGAATAGTAAAATGACTATAATTATTAGACATGAGACACTTACCAGCATTAGGAACCTGTAGGTCAATTTTGACATCAAAGTCGTGAACTTTGAAAAGGTCCTCTGAGAGGTCACTGTTTTGCTTGATAATGTCTTTGTCTTTCTGGCTAGCCTGGCCCTGCATTATAAACAAGTTAAACAAGTGAATACTGGGTCAGAACAGGCACATGTTGCTGTGGGGTTGTTTGCGAGAGTGTGTTACCTGTTTATTAGCCTGCTGGCTGTTGTCTTGGCCTGAGCCTGAACCATATTTCTGGTTAAGATGAGCCAAAATAGCGGCATGAACTGAGGGATCTCTTGCCTGTAAAAAAAAAGAAAGAAAATTCAGTTTTTTAAAATGATCAATTTATAAGGATGAGAATAAAGGAAAAGTGGAACAGAAAAGCTGACAGAAAGATGCCTCACATTGGACACCATAGTCGGTTTACACTGCCGTCTGGTGAATGGATCCATCTGCTGGTTCTTCGCGTTCTGACCCTCTGCCTGAAACACAACCAAGACATTTTATATTCTAGAATATTCTTTAGGAGAGAAACAGCTCAATCAATCAATAAATAAATCCTGACGGGTACACCTACCACCAATGCCTTCTCAGACTCCACAATATTCCAACTCCGATTCCTCTGGTTAATATAGCTGGGGGAAAAAGAAAAAAGAAAAATGATTATGAAGAGGAGGGGTTAGAGGGTTTGTGTGTGTGTACACTACTGTTCAAAAGTTTGGGATGAGTACTTTTTTTAATACTTTTATTCAGCAAGAATGCATTAAATTGATCAAAATTGACCGTAAAGACATTTAGAAGTTCTTAATTTATAAATAAATGCGGTTCCTTTGATCTTTCTATTCAAAGAATCCTGAACTGGAGACTAGAGTAATGATGCTAAAAATTCAGCTTTGCCATCACAGAAATAAATTACATTTTAAAATATATTAAAATAAAAAAGTTATTTTAAATTGTTATTACAGCTGTCGATCGCGATTAATCGATTCCAAAATAACAGTTTGTGTTTACATTTGTAATATATTTTTGTATATAATTATATATATATTGTGTGTGTATATATATATATATATATATATACACATACACACACACACACATTATAGATTTCTATATATAGAAATATAATACACACACACATACACATATATTATATAAACACAAACTTTTATTTTAGAATTTATTAAAATTGCGATTACTTGATTTGACAGCACTAATTGTAATATTTCACATCATTATTGTTTTTACTGTTTTTTAATCTAATAACTTCAGCCATGGTGATCATGAGAGACTTTTTTCAAAAACATTAAAAACATCTAACAAACTCCAAACTATTGAGTGGTTGACTTGAGTAGAAGTAGTATTGAATGTGCGTTTCTGACCTGATAGCAGAGATATTTTTGGTTCTCTGTCGGTCAAGTGCTTCTGCCCTCTCCTCCAGCTCATTCAACTGATCTTGCAGTACTTTCGCCTTTTCTCCATCCCCACTCTCCTCAGCCATGGCCTGTACACACAAGTTATACATGATTAGAATGAGAACAAGTAGGCACTTAAACGACACAATTTTACTATTTCTAGTACATCTAATCATTACAACCTTCTCTTTGAAAAGTTGTGTTTTCTTCATGGCGTAGTTTGATGGCGCCTTTCGGAATCTGTCCTTCTCTTTGACAATCTGTCATTAAAAATATTTCACATTAATACAATCATTAAGTTGATACCTATCAGAATATTCTGTATTAAGGACAACAGGAAATGACATCAGTGGGACGTACATCCTCAATGTCTTTGTCATTAAATTTGTAGTTGACCGCCTCCTTGATGGACTGCTCTTTTTTGGAGATCTCATCTAGAGTAGGAAACTGCATTCCTGCTGACATCATCTATGGGGCAGCAAGCAACGAGGTTACTACTGGATATGCACATCCCATAATGCTACAGTGTGGCAGTACTTCTACAATTAACCTAAAATTCAACCAAAATTAAAATTTAGTTTCCATAATAAATTAGCTTAAAGTAACACCAGGTTACTTTTGCTCTCGGGGTGGGGTCCCCCTACAGTTGGGAAACAGTATTGTTCTCTAGACCTCTACTACTGTCGTAAACTCTGTCATCCTACATGCACGTGCAATTGTTGACAACCACGATAGCCCTGAACACTGTAGGAGGAGGTCACATGCAGGTGTTCTGCTTGCGTCGCGTGTGAAATGTCTTCAACCCAGGTACAGTGGCATATATTTCAGCATGTCATATGAATATAATTTCATGGGTTTTATTTTTTTTCTAACGACAAATGATCGCGATGATCACGTTTACAAGCCAGCGTCATTATAGTAGCCTAGTAACTGAATCTATATGATACTTCAATGCAATGTTTGAGAGGTAGATAATAACCATATATCATCAATATTATAATATCAAGCTACCATAAATGAATCTGGAAATTTTACAAATCGATTTGCATTATAGCTTGAGGCAAGACAAATAAACAAATATCACAGACATGTTAGGTATCCTAAAATATGATTTTGTACATCTTATATATTTACTTGCAAGAATGTAGACCCTACCAAACTTGTGCACGTCGTTTAGACATAGGCTTTCATTTGATTTTTTATTTTTATTTTTTGCCAAGTCCGCATCGGTCGGGCACCCCTCCTCCTCCTTCAACTCACGCCAGCGAGAAAATGCTGGCCCAATGTTGATCCTCGTTCTGCCTTTAACGCGATCACTTTCTCTTTTTCTCTTTTTGCTTTGCTCCGATAAAACCTTTGCTTTCTTGTTTTTCTGTGCTGCTTCGGCCATGACTATAAAATTTGGCTCGCACGTCCGATTTTAAGGAAGTGGTGGAAGTGACGTATATGCCGTAAAGCAGTCGAATTTTGTAGTTCTCTGTTCGCCGGTTACTACCCGAAACCCGAAGTTTAAAAGTACGATTAAAAACGCTACAGACCCCGTCAGGCTATGGCAGACGTGTCATTCAACCTATTGTAAGTCGATGTACCATCACAAGAGACGTGGAAGTATATTATGAAGGTTGAAAAGTTACCTGGTGTTACTTTAATAGAGTAAATAAAAGTTTAAGTACAAATGAGACAAAAGAAAAAAAAAGAATACATACTTCTAAGTTGTTGTTTTTTATTGAACATTCCATATTTAAAACTCACCGCCTCTCTCCATTTCATGAATTCGTTTTCAGTGAACTCCTGATTGGACACAAACTCAAGTCTGAAGACGCGCATGTCATTTCCATGTCTGCAAACATGCAATACACATTACACAAGTCATGGGCGACAAAAAGATGAAAGCACATATAATCAGTTTTCCTATGCAAACGTACCGGAGCTGAAGGCCTTTATTTGTTCGTGTGGACCCAAGCTGATAAACTTTAGCCGTCTCCACAACATCAGTGATTTCAGCCACCTACAGGATTTCATTTCAGAAATTGTCCATTTACAACTCTGTATATTCCATGTGATATCTTAAAATGTGTTTTCAGGTTGCAGTTGTTTGTGGTATCACAAAAGATGAAAGATGTTTATTACGTGAATGGATAAGAAACGTTAATATTTTTCACTGACCCGATAAACAGGCTTGCTGCTGCTGTTTCCAATGCCAATTCGAACAAAACAACCAGTAACAGTTTTAGCAAAGAACGGCATGTGACACCAGCGCTCCAGTTTGTGCCGGGACAGTCGGATCCGATTCAGCTCGTCTGGTAATGACACTGGCTGGGACTTGGGCGGAGCCTCCTCTTTCCTGAAATACAGGTGAACAGTTGATAAACATGCTTATTACAAAGGGACACAACTGTCACACCATTTAAAAAACTATATAATAATAATAGAAAAATTCCAATACTGTTTTATAAATCTATAAAGTTAAAATCTAGAAGTACTGTATATAAATGATAAAATCTATACATATATTTACATAATGTATACATACACTAAATAAAAAGTTTGGGGTCTGTAAGATTTTAGTATTGAAGAAGTTAATACCTTTATTGCTTTAAATTGATCAAAAGTGACAAGAAAAATATGCATGATGTTACAAAAGATTTATATTTCAAATAAATGCTGTTCTTTTGAACTTTCTATTTATCAAAGATTCCTGAAAAAAAATGTATAACAACATTGATACGAATATGCTGAAAAATTCAGTTTTGCAATCACAGGAATAAATGACATTTTAAAATAACTGTTTTCTTTTTTAATATATTTTAAATTGTAATAATAATACTTTTTTTCTTTTCTTTTTTTTTTCTTACTGACCTCAAACTTTTGAATGGTAGTGTATGTCCAAGTAAAAAAAAATAATTATCATGTAATTTTATTTCATTTTTAACTGAATCTAACATTTTATCCAAATTGTTGTTTCATACTAAGAAGGTTAATGCAAAGTAGGTAAATTGTCTAATACTTACTCCTCCTCTTCATCAAAAGATGAAGACCTTGAGCTGCGGTCACTCTTTACTGAAGACTTGTCATCATCATCTTCCTCCTCCTCTTCATCATCTGAGTAGACCTCACTTGTCTTCAGCGGCTGCCGTTTGGAAAGGAGCTCAGCTGAAAGGTTAATAGTTATAGATCAGATACTGGCATGACTGGCAACAGAATGCTAATTTTTTGCACAATACAAGATATACTACTTATTGTTTTGTTTTTTGTTTTAAAAAAAAGCTTAATAAAAGAAATGTTTTAAACATGCTACATTGTAGTTTGATCACCCTGCATGTAAGTGGCATCCAGTTATAATCTAAGTAAATAGGGTTATTTTGGATTTTTAATGATTAATTCCTATTTAAAATTCTGTCTGTTATTCAATGTCTTCTGATTAACGATGAGAAATTGATAAGAAAAGTACCAGTTCTGTTTTTCCTCTTCTCTCTTTCTGCTTTCAGCTCTTCCATGGCCTGTGACTTCTTGTCCAGCTTCTCATCTCTCTTGATCCGCCTCTCTTTGTTGTGGGACATTACCTGACATCAATAGAGAGGAAACACGTGTAAAACCATATTTGCGTTCCTATTTTAGAAAAGGCTTGTTGGCTATACAGTTTACTTACCACCTGAGTATCTGGGACCTGAGACAGTTTTCTCTTCTCTTGCTCCTCCTCCTGTTTCTTCTTCTTTTCTTCCTTTTCCTTCTTCTTCGCTGTCTTCAGTTTTTGCTTTATTTCAAACCTTATTGGGAGAAATAAACATTTATTGATAAGAAGAACCGTTTCTTCTGACTTCATTCACGGCAAGATTACATTTATTTCTGCACAATACAACCAGTGTTGCTATTATAAATAAACTAAAACTAATAAAAACAATTCAGTAATTGACACCTAAAGCATTAGCTAATGTATTTTTTTTTCCGATTTAAATAAATTTGAAATAAAATAAATACTTAAACAAAAATGAGAAATGGAAACTAACAAATACTTTCAGTACTAAAATGACATATGCCTGCTACAGACTTTGCGATTTCAACAATAACATATAAGATCATTACGAATCACACTGTACAACATGGATCTAATAAACTTGGGTACGACATGTTTGTAGACTGTACAATGATGACATCTATTGAATTGTAGGCTACGGCGCAAGTTAGTATAGAAGAATAAGACGTCATCAGCATGCGCTAGTGGCAAACAAATAGAGCAAGATAACTTGGCAATTGTGGTTTTTATGTGTGCTGAAAAAAGAGAAGGAAGCCAAAGAGGAGAATATGGACGCGGTCATGGCTAGGGAAAAGAGGCCAACTGGGCATGCCAATTTTGTAAATGGAGCTTGAGGCAAGTGGGTTTAAGTTTTAGCTCCATGTCGCGTTGATCAATACGCCATTTCATGTTGCAATTTTATTGGCTAGTCAGTAGACGTAGGTCGCAGCAGCAAACACACAGAGATGATCATGTTAAATTTCTGACACTGTCAGAAAATTATTCCAGGCTATCTTTGATCGCAAGACCGTGACAACGGCCGACAACGATGTAGGACCACCGTTTAGAAGCCACGACCACAGAAATCGCCACGATTGGTCATCTCTCGCCTGGGACAGCCCAAAATCATTCAATGTGTACCGGGCATAAAAAAAAATAATTAAAGCTATATAAAAAGTTTAAAGTGCTATAATAGATTTAAACAATATATTTACATGCATCCAAGGTCAAAAAAACACTTTAACTTTTCTTATAATATACATTGCACATCACCTTATTTCTCAGAGTCTGAAATTGGCCAGATGGCCCAGTCTGTTGTGATTGGTCTACCGCTTACACAGTGTTCGAAAACAAAACGCTTATATTTATTTTAGCAGATAATAACTTTGTCATGCACTTTGATCTTTGAAACTTTTAAGACCTTTTACATCTCACAAAAAACTATGCATTAAAGGTAATGTCTGAAAAAGCATAATAGGGGCACTTAAAAAAAAAAAACTTAAAAAAAAGACAACTGAAAATATAAAAACAAAAGATAACTAAAAATATTAACAAATACTATAATAGCATATAATTAATACTAAAATAACACTGAATACAACATTGAGAATATTGCAGTACTTTAATGCTCTTTTTATTGGCCCTTTGTGATTCCCAAAGACCATGAAATTAAGGCTATTTTCGCAGTTCCGTCTTTTCTTGCAAGTATAAACATATTTCGACTAAATCAGACCTTGGCCGCTCAGATCTGAGCTTTGAAACTCCTCTCACCTCCTCTTGAGGACTTCTCTTTTCTCTATACGGTTAAACAGCTCCTGTTCTCTCTCCTTTTCCGTCATCTGCTCCAAACGGGCCCTGTCCTCCTCATCCCCCATTAGATCATCTCCATAACCATCCCGGAAAACCTCATCCTCTGATGACGAGTCAGAATCTGAGCTGGAGGATGAGCTGTTACTGTCGGAGTCTGACACCTCACCTTATGAAACGTAAAGCAGGGATAAACACCTTTTGAAATGTACTTTTCCAGAAAACAGCATTACAGAATCCAAACCGCTGCCTTACCCTCCTCTGGAGCCGAACTCTCTGCTGAACTGTCTCCATTTGAGCTGCCGGATGAAGCCGTCTTGCCCTTTCTTTTCTTGACTGTGTTCTTCTTTTCAGGCCCTTTGCTAGGTTTCCCCTTCTTTTTGGTTTTAGTGCCTCCAACAGTCCACTAATAGATCAATAGAACATATCGATAAGGAGTTTACAATCAACTTTTGACATGGACACTGAGGATTTCTTTCAGACCCAGGATATTTTCAAAAGTATTTCAAATTCGTAACAGCACACACTTCAGTCACCTAATCAGACATAAGACACAACTGATTCAATGTATTTAGTATTGTAGTACGTTCTAGATGTCACTGTATATTTTGCCATCGAAATGATCAAGACTTAAAATGACAACTACACATTTTTTTGCTCTGTTAGTACATTTAAATAACCATAAAAACCTGCAGATTTCTGCAACCTTACTGCAGTATATAAGCTTGGAAAAATTGTGTTTCTCATTACACTAGCTTCTGATTTGCATTGAAAGTCTACATGAAATGGCAATCAATGAGAAAAATAAAATAGTGAGATTGAGATGTGATTTTAACCTCAGGTTGTGGAACAAGTTCACCCTCAATATCATCTCAACAAATCTCAAAGGTGGAACTTCTTTTTAAAATCTATCATTATTTACTATTGTAACCTTATAACATTATTACATTAACTACCAATAAGATTTGCTACAACAGTAGCAACACCTTAAAACAACACCAAAATTGGTTATTGGTCTATTGGTTAATAATATTTTCTGTGGAATAACATTCACTAATAAACCACTCAGAATAAGACCAGAACCGTATATATTAAACTTCCGGTCGAGTTGGGTATGCTGGCGCGTTCTGGCTGCCGCTCCGTTCTAGGAACAGACATTGTGATGCGGTGTATTTTATTTATGTACGCCGGGAATTTGCTTCTCTTGGTGCTGGCCTGGTGGCCTTCTTTTGGCTTTGTGGGCTCACAGATAGGCCTATCTGGAGCTGGTGTTAACGCGGCTTCAATGAATATGGCCTTACAGTACACCTCCCGCCAGCTGTTATCCCTGAAGCAGAATTATTATCTGTCTAGGGACACCTATGTCCACTGTGACAGGGCTGGATTGCTGCGGCCCAAGCGATATATTCATCGAAGCTCAGGACAAAGATGCGTCTCTTCCTCGTCTTCTTCCATCCCAGTTTTGAACTGTCGACGAAGGATTAGAAGACTGTCTTACTCTGGTGTTGATTTTACTAAATTATCAGCTCTGCCATCTAAGAGGCATCCCTGTTGATGCGGTGACTGCAAGCCCTTTAAAAGCCGCGTTACTTAACGTGCGGATTTTATTATGGACAAAAAGCTGGACTTGTTTCTTCTTACGGAAACATGGCATAAACAGGACGACGGTCTTCTTTTTAATCAGCTGACTCCAGCGGGCTTTGGACTTATCGACATCTCGCGGACTACAGGCAGAGGTGGTGGTATTATAGTTGTCTATAAATAAGGATAAGGATTTTTTTGTCTGAATTTGCTGATCTACTGTCTATATTGTCTGTCAAATTTAAGAGAATTTTTATTCTTTTTGAATTTGAATTTCTCATTTGTACAGTCAGCCCCCTGGTATAATGATGATTAGCGTTTACAGAAGGCTGCATGTCGGAAATTGGAGCGAAAATGGCGTTGCTCTGGTTTAAAGTAACAACAGGTAACTTTTCAACCTTCATAATATATTTCCAAGTCTCTTGTGATGGTACATCGACTTACAATAGGTTGAATGACACGTCTGCCATAGCCTGACGGGGTCTGTAGCGTTTTTAATTGTACTTTTAAACTTCCGGTTTCGGGTAGTAACCGGCGAACAAAGAGAACTACAAAATTCGACTGCTTTACGGCATATACGTCACTTCCACCACCACCCCCACTTCCTTAAAATCGGACTTGCGAGCCAAATGTTATAGTCATGGCCGAAGCAGCACAGAAAAACAAGAAAGCAAAGGTTTTATCGGAGCAAAGCAAAAAGATAAAAAGAGAAAGTGATCGCGTTAAAGGCAGAACGAGGATCAACATTGCAGAGCTGCCAACTCTCACGCATTGGCCGTGAGACACCCGCATTTGATTGGTTTCACACGCTCACACGTACGCCACACCCCCGGTTTCTCACGCTAAATTGTCAACCCGGTCGGTCAAATCCCTGAAAGATGAGTTTATCTATAGATCTACCTGTTGAGCCACTCGTGATCGACAAGTTATACCGCAAATTAGTTCAAATCTCCCGGAATCTAGAGCGAGCGCGCACGCGAGACAGAGACTGTGCTCCAACGCGCGCGGACGGCAGAGAGAGAGAAAGCGAGCGAGAGACCTTGCGTATGCAGGGAGCATCGAACCCCCCATCCAAAAAAGAATGCCTCTCTCTAACCTCTCTAATTCGCTAGAGTAGTAGCGAATTATCAATCTGGTAGCTAGTAAACGATATTCTAGTTTTTGATGGTTAGCTATCGCTAGTATTCTCGTTCTGATTTGAACTTTGCAATCGATGAAATGCAAATAGCAAATGTTTGACCTAAAAAGTGTAGTCTACTCAACATGTACAAAGAAAGGAGGAAGATTATTAATAAAATCATATTTTAGGATACCTAACATGTTTGTGATATTTGTTTATTTGTCTTGCCTCAAGCTATAATGCAAATCGATTTGTAAAATTTGCAGATTCATTTATGGTAGCTTGATATTATAATATTGACGATATATGGTTATTATCAACCACTCAAACATTGCATTGAAGTATCATATAGATCCAGTAAAACGGTAACCAATAGACTAGGCTACTATAATGACGCTGGCTTGTAAACGTGAGCATCGCGATCATTTGTCGTTAGAAAAAAATAAAACCCATGAAATTATATTCATATGACATGCTGAAATATATGCCACTGTACCTGGGATGAAGACATTTCACACGCGACGCAAGCAGAACACCTGCATGTGACCTCCTCCTACAGTGTTCAGGGCTATCCTGGTTGTCAACAATTGCACGTGCATGTAGGATGACAGAGTTTACGACAGTAGTAGAGGACAATACTGTTTCCCAACTGTAGGGGGAGCCCGAGAGCAAAAAACTACCTGTTGTTACTTTAAATGTGTTTCACCAAGCTTGGAAAAACTGCTTGACACACTACAGAGTAACTATTGAAACTGCAAGATCTGCATATTTCTCATATATATTTTCGAAAATAATCAAAACTATCCTAGACAGCTCTTTCTTACAATTAACAGTCTACTTAATGCAGATGGAATTCAGTAAAAAAAAAAAATTAACAACGTTCGCAGTCGCACAAATATTCGTACTTCTTTTGGATCTGCTGATCTTACAGCTAATACACTAAGTTTCTCTGGCACTTTTTTCTCCAAATTTACTATATTACAATCTGAGATGCTCTGCAAGCAGGTTTCTCGTATGAAAGCTTCCACTTGCATACTTGATCCTATGCCTTCTAGCCTGTTTAAATCTTGCTTTGGTCCTTTATGTCCCTCAGTTCTTGCTATAATAAATGACTGTCATCTGGGGAGGTGCCAGCAGCACTTAAACCTGCTGCTGTCACTTCCGTTTAAAAAAGCAAAATCCTGGGCGATAATTTGAAAGATTTCTCATGTCAATCTCAAATCTTTCATTCCTGGCTAAAATCTTGGAAGGTGTGGTTGCGGCCCAATTAAACAAACACTTAAATGAAAATAATCTATTTGAGCCTCATCAATCTGGGTTTAGGAAATTACACAGCACTGAGACTGCATTGGTTAAAGTCACTAATGACTTACTAATAGCCTCCGACTCCGGCTCTATGTCCCTTCTCATTCTCTCGGATCTTAGTTCAGCCTTTGACACTATTGACCGTGCACTGTTACTAAATCGCCTTGAAGATGTATTTGGTTTGTCACAGACAGTTCTTGTCTGGTTCAAGTCCTATTCCACTGACCGCAGTCAAAATTTTTTTTTGGGTGGCTATAGGTCCAAAGTTGGTTCTGTTCATACTGGCGTCCCACAGGGGTCTGTATTGGGTCCCTTACTTTTTAGTATGTATATCTATCCACTTGGTCAATTATTAAGATCTCTTGACCTTAACTATCACTTTTATGCTGATGATACGAAGATTTATATCCATTCAAGACCGGGTCAGCAAGTGGACAATGTGCATCTTTAATTCGAACTGTATTGCTAAGATCAAGATTTGGATGTCTAATAATTTTCTGTCTTTAAATGGCTCAAAAACAGAACTTATGCTCCTCTCCTCATCAACTGCGAAAGGCGGGGGCTCTCATTCTGTCTGTTGATGGTGTTGCCATGGAGTTTCAAAGCAAATAAAAAATCTGTCAAAAAGACACTGTCATTTGAGTCTTTTGTGCAGAATACGGTTAAGACATCCTTTTATCACCTCAGGAATATAGCACGTTTACGTCCTATGTTATCCGCCTCAGTTGCTGAGAAGTTGATAAACTCTTTTGTCTTTTCACGTGTTGACTACTGTAATGGTCTTCTAGTTGGGGTATCTAAATCATCAATTGACAAACTGCAATATTTACAAAATTCGGCTGCTAGAGTATTGTCTGGGATCAGGGCTAGGGATCATATTACCCCTGTCTTGGAGTCTTTGCACTGGCTACCTGTCAGGTACCGTATTGATTGTAAAATCCTTATGTTGGCATATAAGGCTTTGTATAATATGGCTCCTCAGTACTTGAATAACTCAGTACCTCAGTAACTCAATGCCTTACACACCACATCGTAATCTGCGTTCCTCTCAGAGTGGTCTCTTGGTTGTGCCCAAGACACGCCTTCGTTCTAGGGGTGATAGAGCATTTTCTTCCTATGCTCCTAAGCTTTGGAATTCTCTCCCGGCCGACGTCAGGGAATCAAATACATTAGTGACTTTTAAATCTCTTTTTAAAACATTTTATTTTAGAATTGCTTTTACTTGATTATTAATTTTATTTGTTTATTTTTGTATTTAAAGTGTGTAGTTTTCTCTGTTATGTTTGCCTGTAAAGCGCTTTGATAAAGCAACTTTTAAAGGCGCTATATATAATATAATGTATTATTAATAAACAGAATGGAAATGTAGCAACAGATTTTTGATTCTGTATTATAACTTACATCTGAGTGAAATTAATTGTTTAAAAAAATTAAAAAAATGAGTGAGCAGGTTCAAGTCCTCGGTTGTTGTTCGGATGGAACCAGATCTGAATGCACATTTGCAGTTGATTGTAAGAATAAGGCAGGTTTAAGCAGACTCAACTATCGGAGAAGTCCAGCATACATCACCAGAGAGAAGTCAGAAGTCTCATTTCACTGGATGATCGATTTAATGACTTCTTGATAAAATTAGTTTTGACTTCATAAAAAAAAAAAAAATAATTGAACATGCACATGATGATTACAAGTGTAATCTCACTGTATGATACTGATTAACTGATTTGGCAGACATCCTGAACTTTTACTTGCAGTAACGAATACAATAAAACTGTGATGGTAATTTGTTTGGTTCCTGTGATGTGGAAATTACATCAGCTAAAGAAGGCCGGTTAAGATGAGTAGGATCAACTGTATTCACACATCTCTGATCTTCAATGTTCTCAATAATAATTCTAGACTAGTGTTGGGCGATATGCTCCATAGCATAGTCATATCACCAGCCTGTGAGATTGTAGATGCACAATATTATCAAGCGCTGCGGGTGGGGGGTGCAATAGTTTACTATCTGATCATTAGTTTACTTATTTATTTACTAATTAGTTTAATAACTTAGTTTTATTAGGGGAAATGATAATCATTGTCTAACATTTTTTGAGCACAGAGGGAATTGGTGATAAAGAAAAAATGTCACGTCGCATTTCACCCAAAAGAAGTATTTCACCCAAAAGCTGAGCTTGTGGATATCACACAGGCAGTTTGCAAACTGTGGATCAGAGTTATGCCGGTGAAGGACACTCAAACCACAGTCAAATATTCACAGAAAGTGAAAGCAAAAGGCTGCTTTTTTTTCATCGATGACTGATTATTGTGTTGTGTTTGGACCTAAAGACTTATTATATCATTTTAGTAATGTGTCATTAAAATGTTTAAATGTGCTATGGAAACAAAATGCCTTGGCGTAAACAACAACTGTACAAATAATGCGTTTCTTTTACAACAAGCACTTTTGACAATTTGTCAATAGAACACCTTTGATGTGGGATGTAGTTGTGTAGTCTGTTTTAAAAACATTTTCATTTCATTGAGGAGGTCTTAATCCTCAAACGCGAATCATTTTCGCAATGGTGGTTATGCGGTGAAGTCGTTATGAAATTAAGGGAACGCAAATTAATTTTAGGTCCTAAAATTAATTTTATAATGATAGCCTGATAATAATAACAATAATTTAATAGATTAATGGGAAAATGAGCCAATTATCATCTTGATATCGTCAAAGGGATTGGCTATTTGCGATTTCTCTGACTATCATCTATCGGCACAACCTAGACGGTTCAAACAAATGTTTGCAGGATTTTTCCTGCATTGAAAAAAAATTGCCAGCAGCCAAAATTAATCTTTGTCCCACCAAAGATTAATTTGATCATTTAATGTGATTAAACCTGCCGTTCTGTAATACCGATACCCGCTGATAGCCGGATGCTTTAAAATGCTCCAGTGAGTGTTTGCGCTTTGTGACGAGCGTCAAGTGTGTTTTTGCAGTGTTGAACTTAGTAGCCAGTCACAAACATATCTGTTGAGCGCGTGAACGCAATATGCAATCAGATGCGTTAAAGTTAGACAAAATACGCTCAACATTTTTCAAAACCATGGCTGAGTTTTTGTTCAGCACGAGTTCTGCACGCTCGTGAATCCTTTCATTATGTCAAACGACCTTTGTAGGAAGTATTATATAGTGTAAATGCAAAATAATAGAGCTACAACTTTTTCTAAGTAATGTGATACTTAGTTGTTCATTTTATTACAAACTTTTCAATCAGTGTCTTTTTAGATATAAATTTACAGATTATTAAACATAAAATTCTAAGCACTTTATTTTATCATCTGTCCTGGCAGTGATTATTTTTTGTTTCAATAATAAATAGGATTGATTAATATTACAAACTATTTTTTTTGGATTTATTATCAGTGCTGGGCTCACAGTTCACATAGTTAGGGTACCTTGAACTGTGTGTGTGGATGACCGTGTTCATCCGCCTCCACCAAAGACCATTTTTGACCCAGGAAAAAGCCTGAATATCCAAAAAAGTCAGCACCAATCTTTAGTAACTGAAAAGCTCCATACCTCATCATCACTGTCTGATGTCTCTGAGTCCGTGGAGGCGGCAGGTTTACTAACAGGCTCTTCCTGTTCATCAGAATCCACACGCTTTCTCTTGGCAAGAGACAGCAGCTCCTGCAAAAAGCAGAGGAAGATTGACAGCTAGGACTTTCCTCAAGTGAAATTCCTTGTACTTGGTGAAGAAATAAGGTGAATCCCCTCTTTATTGTTCATTGAAAACCTAAAGAAAACGTGCAGGCTGTCATAATGTCCACACAATTCTACTTTATGTTTTAGGCCTGCAGGGAAGGTGTGGCAGCAGAAATAATGCTACATATTATGCTATTTATGAATAATAGTTTTAAAGCAGTTAATCAGTTCTTTCTGTTTAATGAACCCAAATAGTGAGTGATCTATAAGCTTGCCTGTCAGGGTGTCTGCTTATGTGCTGCTCATTTAATCCTGAAGTACAAAAACACATAACAGAGGGATTCGGGATAGTTATAACCTAACACTCCTAATGCTCTAACAACCACTATATGGTTAAACAGGGTCTAATCGTCTCAAAGCACAGACAGATGTCAAACTCCACTGAGCATGGGGTTTTCAGGCCAAATATGACCTGCATTTGAGCATAATTATGTGGTCCTATTTGGTACTCATTTAATCTGTTAGTATTAATTAACATTTCAGCATAGAATATACATGCAACACACAAAAAACATTACTGTATAGTAATATAGTGTCAGTAATCACACTGCTGTTAGTGTTTGTGTTGAGCTCTGTTTAGCTGCTAGCTGGCTAGCTCTGAAATTTGTCAACAACATCGAAATAAAAACAAGTGCACAGGTTGATATAGAGTGTAGTATGGAGTACTGCCTATAGGGTGCATATCATGGTTCAAATTCATGCGTTCGCCAAGCAAGGGTTTTCAAACTGGGGTCTGGGGACACAGGGGAGCTAAGGGAGACCTAGGGCATCCAATGTAAATTTGTAATGAAATAATAACAGTAAAACAATAAATGTATTAACAATATATAATACTATTAAATTATTTAAATAACTACCGGTACATTAAAATAAGTTAAAATTAAATAATAACAGTGTACTAGTTAGTAGAAAAAACTGGAATGCAACTTAAAATAAACTAAATCTTTTCCAAATAATATTTTAGACAATTTTATAATATTTTTTTTCACTGTATATATTAGGTATTTATACAAGCAACTATATCGACGTCTTTTAAATTTTAGGCCGGGGGTCCCTCACACAAGGGTGGTCATATATAGGAGTCCATGGCACCTAAAAGATTGAAAACCTTGCCATAATGCAAATTATTATTTTTATTTTTTTATTATTGCTATTTTGGATTATTAATCTAAAACTGAATATTTGGAGAAATAATCAGCATTAAATTAAGTTTAATGTATATAAGCATTTTTTTTTTACATTTTAAACTTAAAACCTATAAATAACGTTACAATTTTTAAGTTTTATTAAAAAATATATTGTCAAATGACCATTAGCAGTTAAGCACATCATAAATCACATAAGCTCTTTTGACACAACAGTAAACTTTAATACTTAAATAGGTCTCCATATTCTTATTTTCATGCATTATGTGACTTTCAACTGTCCAATCAGAAACTGCTTTCAGAATGTTTGCGAAGAGTCTGTCCGCTCTAGTCTCTCGTCATATTTCTACGGCTACAACCGAAATAGAAGTTTAGCCGCGGCACTGTGACGTCATAAAACAGAAAAGGTTCTAAACGCACGCGGCTACTTTTGTAAAGCCGAAATAGCCGCGTGCTGTAGGCGACAATAAAAAAACGTAAAATATCAAAATTGCAGGTGTTACTGTCTCAAAACCAACACGACGGCACCATATAGGCCCCTGCTAACCAGCTAGCTTTCCTACATCACTTAGCATGGGACTTCAACACACACGTACAGTTCTGACACCTTAATGCCTTAGAGATCGGTAAAAGCGAGGTTTTTGGATCACATTCACGTGAATGATATTCCTACCTGATCCAAATTATCATCGCTTGCACTATCCTCCGAGTCAGAGTCAATCACGACCCGACCTTTCCGTTTCTTTACATTCACCATGGTTAGCTGCCTGGCTCCCCTGTGTGTGTGTTTAAACAGCAGCGCCGCACTCCTCCACACAAAGGCGCTAGAGCTCCTCTACGCATGCGCACACGTCACTCCGAAAACCAGCGATGACATACCGGTACACATGACTGGACTAGAGATGTGCTGTATTTGTTAATTGTAACTAATATGTATACATTTATTTAGCCAAAATTATAATATTATTTGATAATCACTAAATGTGATGTGGGTGGGAATCACCTGCGAGAGATATTTGGTGTCGGTAGGACCATAATCACGTGTGCTTGTTTCAGGTAAGGACAGATTATATGACGGACTGCAATGGCACAAATGAGTAGTAAAAATGAATTGCTTTTCGAGACATATTTTACGTTTATTCTTTTATTGTTTTTTAGATATGACAAATGTGGTCACCCTCAGTGTTTGTAGCATAGCTGTAGCATGTAATAATAACTGTCATTAACATTCAATCACTCAGTGGCTTTTTCATGTGACTTCTGAATGTCATATCCAGTCAACTAAGATCTCATTACAATCAGGTGAACGTGTAAGTGTTTGCAAAGAAAAGAGAGATGACTGTAAGATATTCAGGGGCTTTTTGCATGTTAATGTACTATTGTGGTACTCTTTAGAGTTGGTTTTTGGGGTTTTCAATCTTTTAGATTCCACGGACCTCCATGTATGATCGTGCAAGAGACCACCATCCTAAAATTTAAAGGGCAGCCGTATATTTTCATGTATAAAGACCCAATTCAAGCTAATTCAAATGGACATACCAAATGTACTTAACCAATTTAAAATATTAATTGGAAAATATCTTGTATCAATCAAGTTTTTTACCCACTATAGTACTGCACTGTTAAATGTATTATGTATTTAAATCTCATTTTTGTTTTTTACTCATTAAATTGAATCCCAATTTTATTGTTTACTTAATTATTTAAATCTAAAATGTATTATTTATTTTTACTCTCATCTTTATTTACTTATTTACTTGAATGTATTTATTTATTTGAATCTTTTTAATGTTTTATTTATTTTTACATTTTCAACCCTCTGGGGCTCCCCAGAGCCCAATTTAAAAAGTGAAAACATTTGAATCCAGAAGATCAACCGTATGTTATATGACAGTTAATATAAAAAGGCGTTTCATTTTCATTACATATGATGTTTTCCTTTTTTCAGCATATTCTTCTACTGATCTGGTCACAAGAGCTACTCGGACCAAATGGCTGTATCGAGGAAAGCATTAAAAGCTCTGCCAGGAGTTTATGGAGTCACTCACAGGCAGCCACTGTTATTTCCATCTACGCTCGGATGCTCAGCTATACTAAGCACCAGGAACATCTACGAACGAGATTACCGCAGACCGGGTCAGCCCCCAGACACCCGTTGGCCTTGGCAAAAGATACACTTTGATTTCTCCAAAGGTGTGGAGGGTATCAAGAAGCACATTGGATTGTTGAAGGATGAGTTTGTCCAACGCTGGACTGGACCAGAAGGAAGGCCATTACTAGAGCACATGCTGGAACAGACCCGTGTCCAGTGGGAGTTCCGTGGGCCGGAGAGTCTCGATCTGTGGGTCGTGTCATCTGATCAGGAAATTGGGGGCCATAGTGTGGCATACACCAAACTGGGAAAGAACAACACCACGTGTTTTCTGTACGGGTCTTTGTGCTCCACGCCTCCTCGTGATGGAGAGACTCGATACAGTGGATACTGCACTCTGCGCTCCAAACAACCTTTGGTCAGTACATCTCTCTGTCTGATCCATAATCTGATTACTTATTCATCACATTTCAGATGTCTTATTCAATTATTTTCTTGCTATCTGCTTGGTTTAATAATAAATAAAGACTGAGCTTTCTGCAGGACTTTTTTTTCAGTGGGGATTAAGGTTATTAATGTGAATAGCTAGGATGAAAAAGTTTAAATTAATTTGTAATATAATGACTCCTTCCTTTCAAAATTATATTTTCTATTGTGTATTTAAACTGACACAGATCACATGAAAACATGGTTTAGACAGAATCTTGGATTTACAATACCATTCAAAAGTTTGGGGTCAGTCAATTTTTTTTAAATGTTTTTGAAAGAAGTCTCTTATGCTCACCAAGGCTGCATCTATTTGACCAAAAATACAGAAAAACAGTAATATTGTGAAATTTAAAAATAAATGTTTTCTATTTGAATATATATTTTAAAATATAATTTATTGCTGTGATCAAAGCTTTATTTTTAGCATCATAACTCCAGTTTTCACAGTCTCACATGATCCTTCAGAAATCATTCTAATATGCTGATTTGCTGCTCAAGAAACATTTATTATTATTATTATCAATGTTGAAAAACAGTTGTGCTGCTTAATATTTTTGTGAAAACTGATTTAAAAAAATCAGGATTCTTTGATGAATTGAGCATTCAAAAGAACAGCATTCATTTGAAACAGAAATCTTTTAAAACATTATAAATGTCTTCGTCACATTTGGTCAATTTAATGCATCCTTGATGAATAAAAGTATTAATTTCTTTTTAAAAAGTCTGATTGACCCCAAACATTTGAACAGTATTGTATAGGGTTTTCAATTTAGAATTGTACAATTTATAATGAAAGTACATTGAAATACTATAATTCATGAGTTGCAAGTTATTAGAAATTAGAAACACAGCTTTAGAGTTTATTTGCATAAATTTAAATTTAGCCGTAAGGGGAAATAACATATTATTTGACCTTATAATATTCCTCTCTGCTGCAGGCCTCATTTGACAGAAAAAAGACCTATGACTGGTCAAGTTTCAACACTTTACATATGCGTATCCGGGGAGATGGAAGACCGTGGATGGTAAACGTGTCTGCTGAGACCTTCTTTTCTCATCAGAGAGATGACATCTACAGTTACTTCCTCTACACTAGAGGAGGACCCTACTGGCAGGATGTTAAGGCATGTCTTAAGAATTTTACATTAATGGAAATCTAGAGACACTTCATCTGCAGTTCATATGAAAGTGCATTGAAATTAATCTGTTTTACACTACATTGAAAAGTTTGGGGTCAGTAAGATACTTTTATTCATCAAGGAAACATTAAATTAACAATCAAAAGTGTCTGTAAAAACTTATATTGTTACAAAAATTCCTTTTCAAATAAATGTTGTTCTTTTGAACTTACATCAAAGAATCATGAAAATAATGTACCACGGTTTCTACAAAAATATTTACTGTTTTCAACTGATAATAATAAGATCAACCAAATCAGCATATTGGAATGATTTCTGAAGGATCATGTGACACTGAAGAGTAAGGATGCTGAAAACTCTGCTTTGCCATCAGAAATAAAAGACATTTATATATAAATTTATATTGAAATAGAAAACCGTTATTAGAAATTGTAATAATATTTTGACAGTTCTCATGGCAACTGTCTATATATAGTTCATTAGTGCTTTGATACATGTTCCTGGTATGGGAAATTTAATTTAAATATATATATTTTTTTTTAATTTCACAATATTACTGTTTTTATGATCAAATAAATGCCTTGGTGAGCATGAGACTTCTTTCAAAAACCGTACTATGCCCCAAACTTTTGAAGGGTCCAGATCTCTTGCTTATTAATTGTACAATCATCACTATCTTACAGATCCCATTCTCCAAGTTTTTCCTTTCCAGTCGTGGAAGAATACAGGATAACCAGCATGTCCTCTGGTTAGATAAGGTCAGCATGACTTTATTTCCTCAGTTTACCTAGTAATTGATATGAGCATCTAATCATTAATCCTTCTATTTCCTCTTATGATACATTTATGAGAGCATTGTGGTGCAAATTCATACCTCAGATTCAAAACTTGTTTGTGTGCTCTTAGGTAAAGAGTATTGGTTTTACGTTGGGGGACAAGGCAGACGGTCCATTTCAGCTGGAGATTGACTTCATTGGTCTGTGTAACGACCTTGCCCACACAGAGGAGTTTGCTTATGAGCTTTACAAGAGAAACCCTGAGGTCTAATTGGATTAGAGGATTCAGCAATCACAGATAACAAACGTTACAAACGTTTTATTAATAAAAACTTTGTAAAAACAAATCATTGGATGTATTTTTTGCAGGCCAATATCTTTAACACATATATATACACAAATGACCACATGAAGGACAAAAGTACAAAATGATAATTTATGAATATCGCTCAAGTTCAAATAGACATTTTGTGTGACCAATGTTTTAAGTGACTACTGTTTTTGTCCCAGTACAAATGTAACCATTCATACTAAATACAATTCACCAGGGCATCTCTTCACACATAAATCAAAAACAATGTTTAAGATATAAAATCCTCATCTATAAATGGATTACCTCACTGCACATTAACCTATGTTAATAAACAGATGTTTACAGAAGAGTAAAAATGTAAAAAATTTGGAACAAAAAGGACAAAAGTTAACATGTACAGCGAGGGTCTAAAATAGCAAAACAGAAAAGACAATGGAGTTAGGCCATGACCAAGCCTCGTCTGGCACCCAGCATATTCTCTTTCTTCTGTTTTCGGTCTACTGTGTGCTTGGCACGTCGCTCCTCTCTGAAAGTTTAAAAAGACAAAGCATATTCAATGAGAAAGTTATTTTAATCTATGAGACAGATCAAATTTAAATGCACGCTACAGTTTAAAGTGGGGTCGGTAAGATTTTTTTTTAAGTTCTTGAAGTCTCAGGTTCACCAAGGCTGCATTTATTTGATCAAATGCAATAAAAAAACAGCAATACTATGAAATATTATTACTATTTAAATAACTATTTTCTATTATATTTTAAAATGTAATTTACTCCAGTGATGGCAAAGCTGAATTTGCACATGATCCTTTAGAAATCATGCTAATATGCTGAGTTGGTGCTCAAGAACCATTTATTATTATTATCAGTGTTGAAAACAGTTTTGCTGCTTAATGTTTTCATGGAAACAGTGATTTTTATTTTTCCGGAATTACAAATATAGAAACAGAAAGAAACAGTATAACTGTTTTTAACTGTCACTTTTGACCGATTTAATGCATCCTTGCTAAATTTAAAAAAAAAAATCTTACTGAACAGTATTGCATATCTCAATGGATAACCAAAATAAGCATCTAACCTGGTTCGAACTTGGTGCTGTTTATAGTTTTTCTGGTGTGAAGGAACAGTCTGAGATTTATTAAGTTCTGTGTTCTCCTGTGTAGCTCCAAAAGCCTTCAGTTTTCCTGCAGAAATTAAAGAAGACAATGAATAGCGAGCAGATACAAGATTAAATTCAAGAAAGCAGTGCCTGACACATTAGTCCCAGGCATTACATTATATATTTGTCTGAGTGTGGACAAACCTTTGTGTGGTTTGTAGGTGAGTGGACGAGAGAGACTGGCCTTCAGATCAAATGTATTCTTGTTGGTGGTACCAGGTGTGACTGACATGCTGTTGTTCCCATTAAAAACAAATGGAGTAACTCCTGTAAAAACCAACAACAAATGAAACCAAAGCGTCATAAAATCAGTTATAAAAATGATTAGTGCAACACAATGGAATTACCCATACCAGGTGTTTTATTGATGGTGTTGACACTTTTATTAAGTTCAGATTTGGTATGAACATCAGATTTTCTTCCCGGAGTGAAGGTGAGAGAGACAAGAGGAGACATACGAGCTGGAGTCTTTACAAGAGAACGCTTGTATTCGTTATCGTGAGTGGCCTTTGAGAACCTAGAGACAGAAACGCAGCAGTTAAGTGAAAAGTCACTTTATTTGTCAATGCTTGGCTTTAGCACCTATATTTAACTAGATCTCAATACTAAAAGCATTATAAATGTTAAGTGGATTAAAGCATACTGATGTATTTACCTGACATTAATTTTATTGGTGGTGAGGACTGTTGGCCTGAAGGTGGTGCTGTCTTTCAATGCAGACTTGCTGGCAGTCTGCTGAGTGAGCCTGCGTTTTTCTGGCACTGGTTTCTTCTCCTGCACTCCAGGACTGAAGAGAGATGCTCGGCTAGAAGCCACCTTCTAATGGGAGACAATACCAAAGCTTGCTTATGATTCAGGTCAACCTCTTCCAGAAATAAACTGGTTTGACTCAGACACAATACAACTGTCATTCAACAAGATGTGAGATTTCTTTCCATAGTTTTAGAAAAAATATATGAAAAGACCTCCGATGCAAAAGCCACCTCTGTCAAAAATGAGATAATAATACTGAGTGAATGCTCTCCGCACATAGTATACGTTCACTTCAATACTTTCACTTCAAACTCACTAAATCCCAGCCTCAGCCCATTTAGAAATTTCTTCATATGCCAATTTAATTAAAAAATATATTACACAAATTTATGATCAGGATGTGTGCGAATTCAAAAAGTGAATCCTGACAGCTGATAGGACTTGTTTGGTGACTTACAGTTTGAGCCTTTGTCTCGACCGATTTCTTCAGCGTCTTTTCTGACAGTGTCTAAAATTACAAAAATAAATAAATATATAAACCACTAATAGTTTTAGTTAATAATAATAATAATAATAATCCTAGGTCATTGTTACCTTCAGCTCCTTGACTGAATTCCTGATCACCTCCATTTGTTTGTTCTTCCTTTGCACATACGAATCGATGGACTCCAACTTTTTGAAATGAGCCTCATGGAGTTTTTTGAAATCTGGGAAATGGAGATTTGCAAATGCATTACTGAAGGGCAGAGCTCAGAATATTTGGTTACAAATCTTAAATGAGCTCAGACAGAACAGTCATCTAAACAAGAAACTGTCATTTGAATATTAAAGGAACTGGAAAATATATTTTCTTTTCACATATATAGTTGGAAGGAAGGATCGTATTACTAGGAGTTGTCGGCCGCAGCGTAGGTTTCCTCTTCATCAGACCTTCATGACGGGGGATTTTACCCACGGTTCTTCTCCCCACACCTGCAAGATATACATTTTAAAAGTCACCACCGCATACACTGTACAAACACAAACCAATAAATAACCTCCTCAACTCCCTTATCTATTAGATTGTAATTAAAAGGATGATTGATAATATCTACTCTCCACGAGCAACTTGAAATTGAGTATAATTCTTCAAGCCTCACCTTTCGCACTTGGCTCTGTAGAAGCATCTTCAGAGTCTGGATTGGTTTCCCCAGATTCTAGAGCTTTCTCCACAGTATCCTCTTTAGTAGAGATTTCAGGTGGAATCAGAGTCTGTGTGTTCTTGGCTGAGGACACCTTCCTTCTCTTGGAGCCCCTTCGGCTCTCCTCTTGTGCCTGCTTTTCTTCAGTCTAAATATTACATATTAAAAACAATTCATTACATAACGTTTATAAATTAGAATAAAAGATATGTTCTGTACATATGCTCGTGTATACCTGAGCAGTGACAGGTGGGAAGTCACTGAGCTTTCTCTTGGCAGTGCGTCCTTTTGCTCGGCGCTCGGTCACAAACGTTGCCGTGTGCGCGCTTTGCGAGTCAACGGGCGGGACAGCATCGTCGTCGTGCGCGTCGGCTAAATCATTCCCCTGCAAACAATGCAGTGTTGCTTCTGTTATTACAAATCTTCACATTTCGAACAGATTATGGGTGACAATAAACAAAGATATTACTCACATTTTCCGATGTCTGCTGTTGTTGTTGTTTTGAAAAGTGCTCTTTTAAAGCTTTCAATAGTTTTTCAGCCTAAATGCAATTAAAACCGAGCATTTAGAAAATAGAAAACATACAGCCACAAAGAGTTAAAATCCTATATATATATATATGTGTGTGTGCGTGTGTGTGAATATAATGCAGATCATTTAGCATTTAGTATAACTGTTACATGGGTTGGCAGCATGCAAACAGCACTGCATCACTTATACTTAGTAAACGCGATTTACCTTCATATTCGCTTTCATTCCAACTTCTTTAGCGAGGCGCTGCAATTCCGCATATTTAAGCGAGTCCAAATCCATATTGTGGATAAGCTTAATGCCAAATGCAGAAATATAACGTAATATCGACGGTCTCTCTGTTATACAGATCGGTTTGTTTAGGTGGGATTGCCGTTTGAAAAATGAAATAACCGTGTTTCAAAAACAACCCTTTACGTTACATGATTGGTTGAGAAGCCCATGACGCTGCACTACACCCAATAAGAAGTGGCGTTTATGTCTCGTTGGTTTTGATTGGCTGAAAGGCTTAGCCAAAAGCGGGGTTTGATGAGGGGTTTTGGGCGCCACCTAGAGTTCAAGCCAATAAATGAATCGTGGTTGCGTCTTTTGAACTTGGGTGAGCACTGCAGAACAAGGACAAAACAAAAGTAGCTACTAGCTAACAATGTCGAACAGCACTCGAAGTTTGCTCGAAAGCTCTTATGATATCGGTCCATGTGACTCGACACAGACCAGTTCAATTGCAGATCAGCTAAGAGCAGTGACAGACAGAGAAATATGTATGGTAGACTATAGGAATTGCAGTGTTCTCCAATGCATGACATGCAACACAGTGCTAGGAGACTCTCTCGGCATCTGCGGGGAAGTCCAGAGCCTCCAGAGTATCATTTGTTTGAGTAAGTTGCAAATTACCTTATTTTAAAAGCATGCAGACTAAAAACCTGTGAAGATATAGATTCAGTCATGAAAAGGTTTGTAAAATACACCAAACACGTGGGTGGGTGGGTGTGTTGTAATAATCTCTGCAAAGACATTTTAATCTTTCCCTTTCCAGATGTTACTGAGGATGTGAGGGTGAATAAAAAGCTGGATATGAGTTTGAAGGGTAAACTGGCTTCCTCGTAAGTATTCCTTTCTATTTCTATATATTTCAGCCGCTTCAGCTCATGTCCAGCATGTGTGTCGGATGTCCCATTGTGATTTCTCTATCTCTAGCACCTACCAGGTCCTTCACTGTGCTGGTTGCCATGGTACTGTTGGCCTGGTTCTTCACTCCACCCCAGAGCACCTGTCTGCTTTACGAAATCTCTTCCTTTTACGAAAAGAGCTTATCAACTGGTGGGAGTAGTTTAATGATAATAATGTGCACATGAGATTTTTTGTAATGTTTTTATTTTATTTTATTATTATTCTGACAGACATTTTTATTTTGACATGTTTATTTATTATATTTTAGTTACATGCTAAGAAGTGGCACATGTGTTAAAGCCTCCAAAATCAACTTCAAACACAGACTCGTGGACAAAAATATTAAAGAGGTTTGTATTTATGTACTCATTCATTCACTGCTTATTGTACAGAAGTAGAGCAACATTATATTCTATTAAATTATATTTTAGGTTGATTTAACAGCTGCTTAACTGAGTTGGATTGAACATTGTGGATTTTCTTTCTCCTTTTTCTAGCTGAAGCAGTATTTAGAAGCTCAACTGAAGCAGGTGAATATTCTGGAGGGAATGATGGAAAAATTGTCTACACACAATGTAAACTAAAGAAATGGCAGGTGTGGAATATGTACCGCTTTCTTGTTGTAACAGTGTTGTAATAAAGTATTTATATATTTGTGTGATGTACTGAATGGGACTTTGGTTCTTCAAAAATGTGTGAAATATTAATTAGCTTGGTTACTATGTTGCATTTCTTTATTTGCATTGTTCATATATTATGAAAAATAAAAATATATATATTGCAGGAAAAATGTCTAATGTGATCTCTTACACTACTGAAAAATAGAACACTGAAGAAAGGAAACACATTTTATGATTGGCACCATGCTGCTTTTTTTATTGCTAAAATGTAATATTTTGTACAAAATCATGCGGGGTGCATCTGTAGTGCATAGATCAGACTAAGCATAGAGTTTCACATTCAGAGGCAAAATCGTCAATACAAATCAGGTCAGCAAAGCGTATAAACTGCATTATTTGCATTGAACAAAAATAAGCTGTCAAATTCTATTTTTAGGTTTTTTTCATTTAAACTCAATTGTTAAGGCTTTGCTAAAAACGTATTGTATCCGACTTTACCTCTTGAATCACAGACTCGTAACAATTTCATTTTCATCATACAATATTCAAATCCAAAAAGTAACATTTCTTAATGAATACATCTGTGAATAATTTACAGTAGAGATAAACCTTTGGGATTTCATGCATTTGAAAAAGAAAGTCACAACATTGGTCCACTCATAGATTTAGTTATCACATTTCTGCATAAATATGTTCAAGCCAAGCTCAATTATTGCATGCAGCACAACACATTTCTTATCCACTTCTACCATGCATCAGCAAATGTTATTTTTTTGCACTCTTATTAAAAAAACATGTAAATTCCCAAATGGATCCTCGGTATTGTGGATGTATTGTGGTACATTTTATTTACCCAGGATTCACTGATATAATGAATCATCAGAGTGTCTCAAGCTACTACCCAGAACATTGCTCATATTGCTGTCAATGAACAGCTTATGTGCGTTCCACAATGGTTTGTATGTAAACATGCAAAGTCAATAGAAGGGCATAGGCCCTGCATATATATATACTTCCTATCTACTTTCTTACACCTGTCCAAAATAAAAAGTTCTTTATATTAATATTTGTCACACCCCCAGTGCTACCTTACTTCACATATTTATTTGGTGACCGTGAAAAATGGGGCTGTTTTGTTCTATGAAATGTATATAGTTCCGTATGAGCGATGGGATGTTCTGGATAAAACACTTACCACTATCACAAATATGCTACAGATTTCTATTTCACAAACACCACTAAACTGTTCGGACACTATAATTCATGCATGAACTGATTATTGCTTCTAAATCATGAACTTAATACACATCATGGCTTGCATATCTTCGAGTATATTTAAAAAATATAGTTTGCATTCCAGTCATTGAGGTATTTATCTACATTACAATGCTTTGATAATTGCTTTATGCCACTTAATATTCTACATGTTACTTTAAAATCAAGAGTTTCTGCTACTAGAAATAATCTACCCACAGCTCTAGTCTGAGACAATAATACCTGATGGAAGATGCAATATTAGAGGTATGAATACAAACACAGTTCTAGGTTACCCTTTCTAATCAGGAAGAGAGTACTCTATTCTCCCTTGTGTCTGATTGTTACAGACCAAAAAAAAAAAAAACCTTTCAGGATGTACCATTTTAGCAAAAGTCTTTGTTTCCATAATAAGGATTTATCTTGAAACAGGTACCGAATTAAACTCTTCAACACATGTATTATCTTCTAAGCTAACAAGACTCTTTTTTTTGCCCGTTAGAGACTTTCGTTTTGATCCAAGTTGACTATTTTGGGCCCAGAACTTAATTTTTTACAGTACAAACTAGGACAAACTCACACAGTGCTTTTGAAACATACATGTATTTCAGCATGGCTAGCCGCACGTCAATACCAACCATTGTTCAAATCCTCAGCATGCTACAACACATTATTATTAACTAATAGTGATTACCCATGAATAAACAACTGTGCTTGTCAATTAAAAACTAAAACAAACAAACTCTGAACAAGAGAAAATGACTCACCTAGTCGCTTCTTGATCAAATCGATCAAGGTGTGGATGCTGCATCCATGGTGGTTACTAGAACTAAATCTTTGTCTGCCTAATTTTATTTTCTAAACGACTTTATTATAGCATATACTGAATGTCACTACGACTATTAAACTCAGCAAGCATCGCTACCGTACATGCATGGCCACGTTTATGCTGGCACTACAAATCCCGCCACCTTAAAGCAAGCGGATGAAACTATACATCATTTAATGGAAGACATTGGTGATTTTGTTGTTTTTGCGAACAACTTGTCACTTGTTTGTACAATATACATATTCATCTCAAAACAAGACAAAGGAAATAAACAAGTATTGCACATTTCCCACACTGAGGCCTCACTACTCTTCTTACTGCGTACATAACACTTTTATTTCTACCAATCCGTATGATAGAAACTACTATACAAACAAAACAAACATTAGGTACATTTTCTCCTTACAGATGAAGTTAATTCCCTATTTTCACAGTGCACTGTAGCTGAGGTTCGAGCACAGGCTGTGTCAGATACCCAGAGACCAACTTGCCATAATCTATTTGAGATGTTACATTAAAAACATACATACTATTAGCAACTATTTTCGACCGTTGTGACCAGGGCCTAACATGTAACCGTTTTTCTGCCTTTCTTCAGGCCTAATGAGAAGGATAACCATGAGAATGTTACTGGATGAAAGTGACGTGTTTATCTCGCCCTGCATGTTCTCCTGGAGAACATATAAGACAAATATACAACCAGTGAACTATAAGGTCTCTACACGATTTTTTAATCCTACACCTATTAATAAGGTAATGTACAAGAGAAGAAACATCATCACTCCTCTTCTATCAGACCACCAAAACTATTTGACAGACAATGACTATATTTATATAACAGCGAGAAAAGAAATGTGAATATAGTTTGATCAGAGCGCTTGCTGTGTGGGTCTGAGCTGTGGTAACTTCTGAGGTAGTAAAATAATTATATTTAATTATGTCCTGCATCTCATCAGAACCCCATCCCCACTAGAAAGGTTTAACTGTGGAATTTATAATGCTTATGCTTGGGTCAGTGTGCCACTGTCTATCTTGGTATGTCAGTACAAGTACATAGAAAACATGAAGAAAGGTTCATGGTTTGGGTAAAGCACCAATATCAGTTCAGAGATGAGAGAAAACATTTTTTGAAGAGAGCTTTCTGTCTACAGTTTGTAGTCTCATTTTCAGGCATTTTCAAAGACTAAATAAATGTCCAAGCAGTGCTTTACTTGTATGTTTGAAGCTAAGTTATGGAAATAGTCAATTGAGAGACAGGAGCTGGGACGTGTCTAGGCACTTAGTCTGCAGAAAATAAAATTCTTGGATGAAGCTACTTCATCTTGCTTTTGCTCTTTCCATTTTCACTTTCTTTTAACTCAACCTGCAACTATATAAATACTCCACTGGATTTATTTATAACAAATATGACCAGAAGATGGTTCTTTACTGTGGCACAATCATGTTGTTATTATAGTTTTTTGGACACATGAAGAGTTTATGGTTCTTTCATGAATAACAACAAATTCAGTTGTCATCTTCAAAGTGCAGGGATGATATTATCATAGACCGGGGACAGTTGGTATGCTGAACAAACACTTCCCTGAATTATCTCTGGAGGAAGGTCAACTTATCAGGATGGAGGGCAATTTGAAGAACAAAGACGGTCTCATCTGCAACAGATCAGATAAGGCAAGGAAGTAAGCCCAACAATGATAATATCGATTACTATGTCTATCTTTATTTTGATGTACCGATATTGATTATTAAATCCCAAGATTGATCTTTTAGTCTATGCTGTTTTCTTGTTGATGCATGAACAAAACTTCTCTAAACATTATTTATTGCAAGCCTCCCATTCAATAATCACAATAAGCTGCTTTGTGCTTTGTTACTTTTGATACGAAACAGTCTTAAGTGTTCAAATTAATGAAATTCTAACAATAAATACCGTTTTGATGCTTTTTATTAATGTGGCGTGACAGAAGGTATGTTGAAGAAACAGTGCCTGAAATGTCTCGTAATCGCTTAATCATTGTTTCAACCACGGAAACAATGATATGTCACATAACATTACATTTAACTCAGGAAAGTCATTTAATGTCCATAACTCGAGAATTATCTTGAAAGAAAATGACCAAAATGCTAAAATTATGTACTATATCACATAGTTATTCATTATATTTTTTACTAAACCTGTCAGTGATGTCTTATCATAACTTATAATATAATATTATAGTAATGTACCAAATAATAATAATAATGTACAAAATAGCTGAGACTTGAAAATTGTCATACTGTACCTGATAATTCTCCAAATTAATTGAATCAAATGTTAATCAGAATTTAATCATATCAAGAGCTTTTGAAGCTGAATCAAATTAAATCTGTGTCAATACCCAGCCCAACAAGGAAGTATCTTGTGTTATTTCTGCTGCACAAACTGACCTACCTGGTCATGAGTTCCTTTCCGGACTGTTCCTTTCTCTTCTTGTCATGACATATGAGGGCCACTGTTTTGATAAGACAAAGCAGGTTAATATCTGCATTTTCCTTTAACAATGTAGCCATTAGTTCTACTGCACTTATGGAAGGAATGGAAAAAGTAGACTGAAAGAACAATGAAATTGAATATTAATGCACAATCAAATAATGTACATCTCGACTCCTGCACAATGCATGACCATCTACCTAGTGACGCAAGTGCTGGAATGCGAAACTGCAACACAAAGATTAGACAAAGCCAAGCTCTTGTAGTACAAGTCAATCCTTATCGTGCACTTACCGTCTCCGGTGATCTCGTGCTGGTATGGAAGCGAGTGAACTGGAACGAAAAGTCATCCCTATCATACTCGTTGGTTGGAGTACAACGGGCCAGGCTCTGAAATGTTCAGTGAGCCTGGCCCCGCTGCGCTGCTGCGGCAGTGGACTGCGCGCTACGCCATTTCAGTCCTGTCACCGTGTGCTTGGTGGAGCTGCTCTCACTGGCTCTGCAGCGGCGGCCGCGCTCTTCCGGCGCGCACCCGTGCGCATCGATGTCTGTGTTCTGATTGGACAGCAGAGCGATCCGTCAGCCGAGCAACACCCGCCCTCTTGAACAAACGCAAGGCAAAGACATTCTCTGCGCAAGGGTAGGCTACAAGGTGAAGATATATTTTTATATAGGCTATATTAATAAACAATTAACAACACTGTTTTGTTTAATACTTGCTTAATTAAACAATCTGCAGTGCAGTAACAATAAGTGTTCCTTTATTTCTACATGTGCCCAGTTTCTTCTTTATCTATCATTGTATGTTGCAAATACTGGCAGGATCTTTCAGTTGGTTAAATGTTGATATCAACACTGAAATTCCATCACAAAATTTGTTTTAGGTTTTGGTTTATGCAGATGGTCTTTCAAAAGAGTTGTCATACACTTTGAACATTATTATTACAATGGGTAAATACCATATACACAAAAGTAAGTGGAATAACAGTATAAGCCCTCTTTAAATTACTTTAAAATGAATGCAAAAAATACTTTATCTTTAAAACATTTATCCAAAGATAATCAAACCCTTGAAGAATTGTATAAATCCATGTATGAGTCTCTTTCCTTTTAAGTTTGGTAAGATTTAAACCTTATTTATTTATTTATTTTTCCTTGCACCCCCTCTATAATAGTTATTGAATGTTGTTTTGTTGTTGTTATTGTATGTAATATATACACACATGGACATTTAGGATGGAGATATTTTTGGAAAAGTGTATATTTGTAATTGGCATTTGATTGTTCCCTATTTGTTTTTTGTACATTGATATTGTTAAAAATAAAAAAAATCATTGTGTTACAACACACATCACATAGCACACAGTGACCTCTAGTGGTTTTCTCAGGTAACAACATAATCTGATATCATTACAAACACCATTATAAATAAAAACCAAACGAAAGGGAGAAAAACCGAAGAAAAAAATGCCACAGGGAATCAAAAACTCAATACGAAGATAAATGAACAGGAAAAAATAATTTACATACTTAACTTGACTATTTAGGAAAACTTCCAAATATTTAAAGTCTTGATGGCTTTAAGGTCTGCTATGCTCACCAAGGCTGCATTTATTTAATCAGTAAAACAGTAAAATTGTAAAATATTACCATACAGTTACAATGTATGATATAACACATTCAGCATAATTTTTCAGCATAATTTTCAGCATAATTACTCCTAGTCTTCAGTGTCACATGAACAATCCTTTAGAAATCATTCAAATATGATGATTTTCTGCTCAATAAACATTTATTATTATCAATGTTGAAAATGGTAGTGCTGCCTAAAATTTTTGTGGAAACCATGAGCATTTTTTATGATTCTTTTATAAATAAAATTTTTATAAGAACAGCATTCATTAAAAATGTTTGTAAATATTGTAAGACGATGTCTAAACAATCTTTACTGACACGTTTGGTCAATTTAAGCCCACTGACCCCCCAAAAATGTAACGCTATAGTGTTTGTTTATTGAATTTGCTACAATTGTAATAAAAAAATACTTAAAAAAATATTTTATATACAAGGGAAAGAACACAGGAGCCTATCTGAGGGGATTATATAGTGGGAGATTTGTTTGACTGTTTTGCATATAAAATATAAAATAGATCACTGACTAAATGAATGAATGACATGACTTTATGAATAATAACAAATATCGGAATGATAACTGTTTAAAATCTGGCATTATATGTAGTTTTATTTAAATAACTAGGACAAGAAGTACACTTCGCAAAAAAAAAAAAAAAAAAAAAGTAGTCTATATAGCCTGACTCAGTTCTGTTTTATACTGTAGGCTACTAAAATATATGTTCAATAAAAATGCATAAAAATACTGCATCATTAACCTTTCCAAACCGGTTCTGTGTAATGTAATGTAGGCTATGTGCAGCAACACGATGTATGGGTGTGACAAAATACACCTCATAAAATACACCTCAGACGCGCACGATGTGCTTTGATCTCACACGCTGAACACGCATGCACGCGCGCGCGCACGCTTGCCTCCTCCCCCTGCTCGCCGCTGCGCGTGCGTGCGTGGTACAACATCAACAGAATGAGCCCTCCTCGTTTACTGTCAGAAATAAAACAAACTCTTTACTATCCAAAGTAATTAGTTCTGTACCTAAGTATTGAGTGCGTTTCAACCTAAATCCTACAGTCGCCTTATCCGGACTAAACTCCGCGGTTCAAAGTGGTAAGAGACATTTTTTTTGCGATTTCTCAAAATTAGATTGTGCAAATGCAACAGTGCTAGGCCGCAGTCTTATATTCGACCATGCATTTATTTCTCTGAGCGTTAAGACTCAAACAGACCTGAGAAATGTTTGTTGCATTTTAAGGCAGTTTGGTTTCAGAAAAAAACTACATGTCTTTCAACCTACGTGTTTAACAGCAACGCTTCCGCAAAAGTTGGCTATCAATAAAGGCAGTGCTGCAAAACACAAGAGCGATCAGGAAAGATTTTTCATCTTTTTAAGCAGAAAAAAAAAATCTGTAAAATACTAACCATAACGCAAAGGCATTATTTTGGCTTGCTATAGGGAGACCCCATCGTGACACGTGCATTGGTAAGCCAATAAAGCTGCATGCATGTGGTCTTTGTCAATGTACTGTGCATGAGACCAGTGGTGATGGAGCTCTCTATGGTTGTCTGTGTTTGCTTTGGTATAAATCTGCTGGTGCAATGAGCCCTTTAATTATAAACCATAATGTACAGTCAGACACAATGCAAATTGGTTTGATTCAGTAATTGTAAAAGTATTTTAGTAATCTTCAGGTTTAACATCAAGCCATGCACATGTTTCTGAGCCTTCACATCTTGTGACAGCAAGCGCCTTCTCACTGCTTTGACAATTGCTGCCATAAAAGGTTTTACGAGGCATCTAGAATGCAAGTTGTACAAGTGAAAGTTATAATATGAGGAAGAGTTTGTGAACAGACAATTAGTCAATTCTTTTTGTACAAGACCAGTAGTGTTGGTAACTTACAGTAAAAACATTTTAAAGACTGGCCAGCGTCTACTAACAAGCAAAAACTAGTCCAGACATAGTTGTATCACAAATCACAAATGTGATACTGCAGCATGTTGCATATAGCTTGAATGACATGACAATAAACCAAACGTGACTTTACTTGTAATACCATGGTATTTTATTAAGTGTTTTGACTCATGGAGTGTACATGTAAATATACCATGCTATATGAATTAATTCAGTTGCCAGTGCAAGTGTTCCACTATTCTCTCTGGTTCTGTTTGAGCAGGATTACTAGCAATACTACTGTCATATGATCTCATTAGATATGTTGAACCACAAAGTTTTGCATGTTTAATTTGTCAAATGATGTTGGTTATCCACATATTTCATCCACAAAGAAAATTTACTTAATGTGCACACACAGCATTACATTCATACTGAATACTGCAGAAATAGGAAGATTACTATGGTACTATTGCATACATCTGAGCTTCTGACTACCTGTGATGACTAACAGTAAACAAAGAAATAAAAAATTATTTTGTAATAAGCATTTAATTACTTATAAAGAGGAATTGACATACAACAACCATGGTGAACTTAATTAATTCTTGTATGATGAAATAATGACGAGATTGACATTTATTATATCTTGTAATCAAAATCCTGGATGTTTAATTCTGATTTTTAAGATGGAAGCATACACTAAATGTAGTTATCAACAAAAGTTTGGGCTTTGTAATAAAAATTACATTTGTTTTTGTTTTTTTAAATAAAATTATACTTTTATTCAGCAAGGATGCATGATATTGATCAAAAGTGACAGTAAAGACATATATAATGTTACAAAGATTTTTGTTTTCAAATAAATAAGTCTCTATTCATCAAAGAATCCTGAAAAAGGTATTTTCCTCACATATATTAAGCAGCACAACTGTTTTCAACATTGATAATAAGAAATGTTGGTCCCACTTTATATTAAGTGGCTTTAAGTACTATGCACTTACATTGAAATTAATAATTTGATACAATAGACTTGTTGTGTACATACATGTTTTTACATTGTACTTATATTTAAAAAAATACCTGCATGTAATTACAGCTTTAATTAATGTATGCAATCACATTTGTTATTACACTGTTGACCCTTCCCTTACACCTTAACCCACCCTTTTACCTACCCATACCACCACACCTGTCCCTAACCTTACCCGTATCACACCTCAATAGCAGCAAAAGTGTTTTACAATAAGTACATTGCACTTATTTTTCGATGTAAGTACATAGTACTTAACGCCACTTAATATAAAGTGGGACCAAAATGTTTTTTTGAGTGCCAAATCAGCATATTAGAATCATTTCTGAAGGATCATGTGACACTGAAGACTGGAGTAATGATGCTGGAAATTCAGGTTTGCCATCATGAGAATAAATTTAAATAAATAAAAAAGTTATTTTAAATTGCAATAATAATTCACATTTGTATTTTGATCAAATAAATGCAGCCTATGAGCATAAAAGACTTATTTCAAAAACATTAAATCTTAGCATAGAGTGAATGATTATATGATATGATACAAATCTAAAATAATGCACATTACCTCTTTTACAATGGCAGCAATTAGCCTGCGTGCCAGAACTATGATGGTGAACACCAACATATTATAGTCAATTAGGTGGAAGTTCTGAAAAAAAGAAAAGAAAAAGAAAAAATAGGATTGAATGCTTCTGTGGAGTTTAATTTTTGAGCCTTGAGACGTGACTCACCAGAGAGGTGTGTGAAGGTGGGTGTGATGGGGGGTACCACCACACGGTTTTGTAGATGTTGACATAATGCACAAACAGTGCTATAAGATGGCACACAAACAGGTGGAGCTCAAACAGGACGTTCGACGATTTAGTGTATATCTGACCTCGTTGTTTTTTTTGTTTTTTTTTTCACATTTAGTCTTACTATGTGTTTGGAGCTTTATTGTTGTGGTTTGTTTTCCTGCAGGTAT